TAAGCTGGGTAAATGTGGATGCCTACATCTGAGCAAGTCACATGTTCTTCTATAATTATCAGGGATCTCATCAGTAGAGAGCTAAAAGCATTTAAGGTGCAGTTGGTCATCTTTAACATCTAGCAATGATAAATGAATTGCAACCTAAACAGGAATTTTGTTTAAGGAGAATACAGAGGTGCCTCGACTGATCAGTGTAGAAGATACCCACTTTTGATATACAAGATTGAAGTGTCGAATTTCACTTCTCCTGCTTAAATTACAGTTACAAAGGATTGAGGTTACAGGGAATCTACAATTTCTATTGAATCTATAACAAATGCTATTCTGAACATCAGAATTGCTGTGAATTTGCTTTAATTCAGTTTTCCATAATAATCATTAATCATATATCCTCACATTTTACCTATTCACTATTCCATATCTGCACTTTCGCACTGCTCCAATATTTACAAGTAGTTTTATTTTCTCCTACCCTTTATGCACTTATGGTTGACATTTATGACATTTGTGAACATTTTACATAATGAGTGCCATTTAATTCAGTTGGGCCTGCTGCCATCATTTAGCCAGACAGTACAACTAGTACCTACTTCTTCAATTTGCTTTCATAAAAAAATCCCACAAGATGTGCTTTCAGAATCCTCTCCAACCCTGTCCAAAGGATTCCACTGGAATCCTTTCCATTCTCCTCACAGTAGTGAGGAGATAGCTCCTGCATCCAACCACATTTGCACCAGGTGGTGTTTACAGCTCTCTCAAGTTATCATCTGTTATAGAAAACTTTTTTTCTTTTCCACATGAGATGTAGCTGATGTGTGTAAAACTGATCTGACTATTTGTTGCTTTTAAAATAATGGAGGGTGCCATAGCAATTACACCTACACTTACGTGCCATCTGGACAAGAGCTGTCATTGAAAAATAAACTGCAGATGAAATGCCATTACTGTTTAAATAACTATGTTCTGTTCACATTAAGGTCAAGTGTCTTACTAATCTCCAAATGTACACAAGTCCTGCAGTTTGTTAAGCAAACTGATATTTAAATGAAAAAATACCAATACTTAAATTTTCAGAGCATTATTAAAATGTTACTATGGTAGAACGCAGCCAAAACAAATGACATGACTCCAGAATGTGCCTAACTTGGAACTCAATTGTTAGGTTGCTTTATTTCTTCCCTCCTATGTCTTAGTTAGAATTGTCATACCAGAAAAATTCTGATTAGCCTAATATCAGAAAATATAAAGAGCCCATGAGTCACACATGTTTATCACCATGCTAATTTTTGCAGTGCAAACTAAGGAAAATCTTGCTGAATAATTCGTACACAAATCAATTTGAGATTTTCTATCCAGTAAATAGATCAGTTATCATTATATTCACATATTAGTAAAAATGGAAAAACACTACACAGAACCATGTAATAAATGAATATAGTGTTTAAGAGAAAATGTAAAAGGAGTGTGTTTCCATATTTCCAAAGAAGAAAGAATTTGACAAACATTGATTAAATATCACAGATCCTTTTGTGTAAGTTTTATTTACAGAGCAATTTGTAGATGAATAATCTAAGGCATAAGCTGTGACAAAAAGAGCAGTAAGTCACTCAGTGGTAAATGCACAGAAAAGGAATCAGAAATTCTGATGCTGAGTCTTAATAACTACTGCAAGCCTCCTTCAGCCCTCCACGGGAGAAAATCTACTAACAAAATCATAGGCTCATAGCTGAGTTTGGAAAGGAGCTCTGAATATCACCTGACCCAATTCCTTTCTCAAAACAGGAAATTTGAATCAGTCTGCTCAGCTGCTCCTACAAGCACACTTTCAATATCAAGGATATCTCCCCAGACTCTCTGATCAGCATGTTCCAATTGCACAACCAGGTGTTCACGCACAATACATGTACGCTTCTAAATCCTTTACCCTCACTGAGCAAATGAAGAGAACACCCTGTTCCCTCACCTCCATCTCAGAGCCTTGTACACATGGTCATTACTAGCAAGGTTTCCCTTGATGGTATCACTGTGACCAGAAGAAAGAGGTATAGATTTGAGGGCGACACCATCATGACAGAGATATCCGTTATTTGAATGATACACTTAGTGCAAGATCCGGATACAAAGGGAAGTTGCGTTTCTGTCTATGAATTAAATTTAAAACTCACAGTTTTAGCTGCAAATATTCTGGCACCAAAAACATGGTTTCAATTTGTTAGAAATACTGACTCCAGTGTAACACCTTATTTATTTAGTTCAAGAAAAAGCCGACTAGAGGCTCCTCCATTTGTCTGGTCAGGTTGCCTTGAGAACAGCATCAAGGGTTTTACTGCTAAACGACAGGCATAATAGACATATGTAACTGAGTATAAGCACTACTAAACTCATCATTATAATCACTTTAGACAAGTAATATCCTGCAATAATTGCACAATTCTCAAAATAACTCAATGGATATTACCAAATTTCCATCTGCAAGGGACACTTTTCCAAGAATGTCCAGATGACTTTTATCTGGAGTTCAAGAGCTATGGAAAAGTTACCAATACTTCATAAGTCCAAATACACAGATTCAAGGTTTGAAGTGCTGTAGGGTTTGTTTGTTTGTTTCTCTTAAAACAGTGAGGTTTTGTCTTATTTCCAATGCTATGCAGCAGAATATCGTGAGTTATCTCAAGGGCTGCTTAATTCATTATTCACTACAGAAAGAACTGTCCATGGAATTGTGGCTCACTTGAAGAAATGATTTCAAAACAGAAATCATGACTACATCAGTCAAAAGATTTAGTTCATTAAGTGTCTTCCTGGTAGGGATTGCAGGGACATTTGATATAGGTACATGGTCTAATGTAGACAGAAATATGTACCATGATTCAGAATTTGTCAATGAATGTCCATGTGGTTTCTTTCCATCCTTTGCTAGTCAGGAATTTAAAGTAAGAAAGTTCCTTAGAGAAGGATCTGAATGAATGAATGGATTCACTATTGTGATCAAAATCTGTATGTTGTATTTTAATAAAAATCAGCAATATATTTATTATCATTGGATGGCTAATAGAGCTAAATTAGAGGGAAAAAAAAAGTTTAACTTTTTAGATTAGTTCTAAGAAGATTTACTTTAACCATTACATTGTTTCATGTGAAAAGTGGAAACTGCACTTACAGTACCAGGCTCCCACATTAGAAGTTTCTGAACAAATGTTTTCTTATTAATATTTTATTTTCCTTAACATAAAAGGGAAATACTGAATAATATATTCCAATGGATCTTAAAGATAATATTTTTCAATTATATTTTTCAAATAATATTTTTCTTACTTTCCTACTTGAAAGAAGTCAAATTCTCAAAGTTTCCACCCTATGTGCCTGTCTAGCACCATTCAGATCAACAGTTCCCATCATCAGCTATGTTCCTGCATCTGCAAGACAGTGATTGCTCATTCCACACATAAAAAACGTCATAGCATCTAATAACACAGTAAGAGATCTCTTGGAGCTCAATTTTAGCCACATTATATAAACATGAACGCAGTATTCTGCAGTTCTGTGACAGAGAACTGCAGAACTTTTCTTACTTCTATTTGTTTTTTGAGTTCTGTCTTGCTGAAATCTCATCCCTAAAGCCTTCAATCAAAAGCACTTTAATTATACAAAGTCTCAGTGGAGTCTTGGCAGCAAAGTACAAGGGAAAAGGAAGGGAAAAAAAAATCATACAAAATGGATGTTAGAGGGCACAGTCACTCAGGGGTTTCAGACTCACAAGCAGCTCAGATTTGAGAGTATCGATCAAAATCCCATTAGAAAACATGCACATGGCTGACACCGCTAGTGAGTGCTGCTGGGGAATGTCCAGCCAAACAAAATCCACCTCCCAGAGTGCCTAGGCAAACCAACACCACCCTTCATATGGCAGGGCCAAAGCATTTTCCCTTCCTTCTTTCTTCCGAAATATGCATTACAAATGGTAGAAGAAAGAACCTCCTGCAAGTAATGATAATCAAAGTATCTCAGGGTCATGGACAGTACAGGAGGAGATCACCTGTTTGGCTGTATGATGTACCAATGCTTTTAAGTTAAACAGAAAGAGAGATAGGTTGTCAAAGAACTTACTTCTTAATGGCCTCCAGAAAGGGCTGTAATCCACACACCTACCACAGTACCTTTTCTCAAGTGAAAGAGAGGAAGTAGTAGGAAAAGGACCAAGGAAGTACTATTTGCATTCCTCTCTCTCAACATGACATAGATTACCATTTAGACAGCAGTTTTTTCAGTCTTTCCAGGGCATTAAAACATTGCACTGATAGTCTCAGCTGTATTCCATACAAGAACTGTTAATTCCAAAATAATGCTGAATCAATTGGATGATTTACTTATTTATTTTTGGTTGATGTGGCTAATCCACATGAAATACTCAATACACAGTAGAAGACAGGGAGCGCAAACCTTACAGATTTCTTTTGGTCTCAGTTGATATCACATTTGCTGATTTCCATATGATCTTCTAGCAATTAGTTATTTTTCTTACAAGTTAATCTTAAAATTGAGACACATGTTTATTTACATATTTGTATTTTTACATATTCATAGATAGTTATCCAAGCAAATTGATAGGCTACAGCACAAACTTCATGCTTCAAATCACACTGAACATGCAACTAAAGTGAAAAGAAAATGACTCAAACTGAATTTAGGAGTATTTATATTATGCTTTCTAGATTTTTTAAAATATACTTAAAACAAAAAGAAACAGAAAGAGATCCATAGATCCACTATTTGTATAAGGCTCATTTCTAGAAACAAGGATATTTAAAATCTTTACTCTGTCTCTGAATTATCAGGTAAACTTTTTTACTTTGGAAATCAGAGCTCCTTTCAAATTTCTTCAGTATATTTATGACTATACTATGTTTTGTACCAGAAAGAAATAAGGCTTTTTCCTAAGAAAATCTAGAGAAATTGAACTGAGATTACAGTCTTAACTATATTTACAGTGATGAGAACTTAAGAAAAATGCAAATAATTCACATAAGTAAAATTGACAGTTTACATAACTGTGAAATAACATCAAAATTTTTCTAAACAAAAATAAAATTATAAATTCACTCAATACTGCACTTGCAATCTCTGGTAGAAATGGAAAAAAATATCAAAATTAATAGGCCCTTTACTATTGCCTTCACCATAAGGCTAAACCCTTACAAAAAAGGAAAGAGGGGAACAAAAGAAAATGGAGGGAAAAATTTAACTTTTTTCTGGTGAATTTGATGAGTGCCTAACATCCAACTGAGTGTCTAATATTCTGAAAACATTCTTACTCAAGTGACAGTTTCTATATTAATCTGGATGGACTTGAAAAATAAATGGGATATTGTTGTAGCATTTATTTACTCTTAAATACATTCAATTTTCTCACATGATGAAAGAGCCACATTAAAACCTTATTGCTTATCATTTTGTCTTTTGTTATACTTGGATTTTTTATTTTTACTGTACGAGTTTCTAAACTCCAAGTTTTTGATGTATTTCAGTGATTATGATATGGCAGTAAGAACTACGTTTCATAGCTTGGGGGCTTGAAAGTCTAATAAATATTTCTAAAGCAATTTGAATTGTTTCATGAAGTACAATTGAAGTCAAATAAAATATAATCTTATTAATAAACTGGCTGCTGAAAAACAGCAGTCACTAAGTAATAATAATTCAGAAGAAGTCAAACTCAACAGATGTTTGAGACTTGAGAACTCAGATACAAAAAACTATTTTGCTTGTCAGTGTTTTTGTTCTCACTTTCACCTTGACTTTTCTCACACCAAAATGCAGTATAAAATTTTAAATGCTGAACAGCTTTCCTACATTATTCTTAGATTTTAACAGATAATATTTATTTACCAAAGGATTTCCCACCATCTCACTCAAAAATTAACACCAAACTCACTTACTAATACATTTCTCATGTGCTTGTATAACTTCAGTGTTTTGTGGGATAGAACCTCTTGCACATATGGGGTAGAACCATCTCCTCGTTTCATGTAAAAGCTGCCTAGCAGCCTGACATCATTATTGTCTGCGACTTGCAAGCATTATAACGAAACAAACATAAGTTTTAATACAAGTGTCATCCCAGATTGCAATGCAGTTTTTTTTAATATAAAATTAATTTTCATGCAGAGAATTAGAAGTACTGATAATAGAGTTTATAATGAAGAATAGCTGTATGTAGAAAATTTATTATGCCATTTCTGACTAAAAATTCTATCATTCTTTGTGAACACAAACTAGTACTAGCGTAGTACTAGTGCTACACAATACTAGATAATATACAGGTGATGTTTTAATTAGGTTATGAACACAAATCTGTAAAGCACCTTAAAAAAAAAAAACTATTCACTTCTGGTACTATAGGGAGGAGAGAAGAACAGTGCAATGAAAAAATTTCACTTCCCCCAAACCTGACTAACAAGAGAAATTTGTTCTTCAGCTGGTTTAATCAGAACGTCCTATCATTTCCCCAAAGAGTTGTCTCTTGCTGCTTCAGCAGAATTTCCATTCTCCCTTCGTCCTTCAACATGATGCCATCTCACAAGAGACCACGGCCACTTCTATATTTTATCACCATCAGAATCCTTGGACAGTTTGTTTCTGGGACATTTGAAGGTTTTCCTCTCTGCTAAATTAGAAAATGATTCAGCGCTATAATTCTCAAAAGTATTTTAAGCTCAGTGAAAGCACAGACCCCAGATAAGTGGCTCCCTTTTTAGAAAGGGTAGCCCCACCTAATAAAAAATTTACCAGGTAAGTAAGAATTTGCAGGATTAAAACCTTAACCTTTTCAAAAAACTTCTTGAATTTTAACATGTAAATAAATACCAATGAATCAGGTACTAAAATTAGCACATAACATTAAAACAAACAAAAAACAAACAAAAAACCAACACTCCCCACCAAAAAATAAAACAAAATACACACACACAAAAAAAAAAACAACATCCAAACCACAACAAATAGCATAACCATCACAGAAACACTGTCTCAGTGTACAAAGGCAGCAAACCGCTTCTGAGTGGAAGTATTATACTAAGGGACAAGATGAAATAAGGTTATGTGAACAAGTGTTCTACGATTTTTATTCAAATTTTTTTGATTTTTTAAAATTCAAGTTTACTGTAAATTGATAGATATCTTTCATAAAGACTAAATTCGTAACACATTTGTCCAATTATGCCTGTGAGATCTAGTATAAATTTGAAATAAACTCCACATTACCAACTTCATCTAAGCAACATCTTGGCATTCCAGGGTTAATCTGTACATTCCAAGATATATTTAAAAAAGTTCAAAAATAACAAAATTTATTATTTATCTGCAATGAAGTACTATCAGTATTAACAGTTTTAAATGGTGGAGGGTCAAAGATGGCTGAAGGGGATAAACACATTTTAGCAGTTGCTCATCCCTACTAGACTGCTAAAAATCCAATGCAGACAGAAGTGACTGCCACATCTGCCTGCTTGTCATCTCAGTGCCTTCTATGAAAGGGAATACAGGTGCTCACACACCAAGCAAGAGGCCACAATACAATTGCCACTCCTTCCCTCCCATCCCCTGCCCAAACTAACACACCAGTGGTCCAGCAAGGGAGGCAAAGAGTGAAAGGATAAAACAGGATAAGACACCTCAAAAGCTGTCCTTTAGAAAGTATCCTGCGGGCATCTGTGCTAAGGTACATGACCCAGTCACATTTCACAGGCCAGTTCAGAGAATTCTGCTCTATGAGAGCTTTCTTTCCTTCTATTTTTCCTTCCTGTTTCCCCATCTATGCAAGAATGCTACTGAAGCATCAGTGTGTGTGCGCACATTTGAGAATCACAGCATGAATCTGCTTCGTGTTTCTGTACCTTAAGTCAAAAAGGAGACAACGCTCACAACTGTACTGGAATTTGGGAAGGAGATTAGAAATACATATCAATGTGTTTAACAAGGTTTGCCTCCTACCAGTGGTCTTCAGTGAGCAGAAGAACATTTACACAACTCAGACAAAAATGCAAACTCTTCCTTGGTGCAGACCAGCTTTCCCTAGTGAATTTCTGACGGCAGGTTTAAGGCTGACTTCCTTTCTTCATAACATTCAACCGTGCATACATCTTGAATGGTTTGCATTCTTAGCTATGCCATTCCTGAACACTTCATTTTATGCAGTCACCTTGGTTTTAAATTTACAAATCTATTGCAACTGCAGGCAGACTCTGAAGCAGGAGGCATTAAAATTCAGAAACTCATAAGGAATACTAAAGATAACAGGACTTTTATTTTCTGGGACCCAGTGGTTTTAGCAATAAAACTTCTACATATTTTCAAAGGAATACATACCAAAAATTTATACTGTATGGTAACTGCCAAATTCAGGGCAGTATCTCAGACTTTTCTCTGCAAACTCAGGTTTGCTAAAAGTATGGATAGCTTCTTAGCAAGGCCATGAAGCAGATGAGGTGTCACACCCTTTGTACTAAGTAGGAATTATATCAGGTAGTCAAGAATGTACTTGAATATCGATGTCCTCGGTGAGTATCTATCCCAACTGGACTTCTTTTCACAGGCATAAACATTTCCACAAGCCAGCCAGCCACAACAATTCCAATAAACTTTTCTGGATGGAAATGTGGTTTCAAATGAAAGAAAAAGAAAGACTTTCAAAATAAACACAATTCTGTAAAGATTTCATTGTAACAACCTGAAATAATTTGAGAGAAAAACATGGAAAGTCTCGACTTCTTTTGGAACTTTTATTTAATTCTGTGCAAACAGCAATAAGGAAAAGAAACTTGGGTCAGCTACGGATAACAGACTTTTTCCTTCAACATGGAGGAATACTGTAAAATGCCAAAGCTCTTTTACTATGTTCACTTAAAATAAACCCTAGGAGCTTACAAGAGAAGGGATGACTTCAATTTTGGCTGGCTCGTAGAGAACCATCTCAGAGGCAACAAAGCAAACAAAGCTAGGCCTGTTTAAAGAGCGGTAGTCCCACAGAATAAGTTCAACTTCTTTTCTTCATTCTGAATATTTCAAAAAGATTTTTCACCTTGTAAGTCAAATGTTTTCCCGTTTCAGCTCTTCCACTACTGAACCAAACCACTGGCTTTTTTTTTTTTAAAAAAAAAAAAAAAAAACTTCATATTATACAGATACAGTCATGAAAAGAAATGCCAAGGTTTTCCCAAATACTGGATTTTGATCAAAAATTGCAAGGAAGAATAATCCAGCAATTATACCTCTTTTATTTGCTGCCCTGACAATACACATTTCTCACATTGCTAACATTTTACAATACAGCAGGTAATTCAGGCTGCAGATGTTCCTGTCTAAAATGCAAAAGGTCTGTAAAATCTGTTTACCAATAATGAGGAAAAAATGGACCATTAATTAAAAATACAGCTGCAGTAATAAAGGAGTGCTGTGCAAAGCCCCTGCTACCCTTGATTTGCATGACCCAGTCACAGTTCACCTCTTCTTGCAATTCCATTTCCAGGCCCTGCTGCCCAGGGAGCTCATCAGGACTTGGAGGCAGTGCGTGGACTTACTCAGATGCTGGAGAGGAGAGATGAGCAACATATTGACCCCTCTTCCTCCTCATGTATTGCTGACTGTTGACTCATACAACTGACTTGGTTGCTGTGCTGCTTCCACTATCAAGTATAATTGTTTCTTAATATAGATTCTTTTCAAACATAGGTTTAAAAACCACCAGTAGAGGCCCATAATTACGGTACCTTTTCTTCTTGAATCTCTTCTAATTCAGAGTGTAAACCTATTACTTCATATTGCTAACACTAAAATGCTACACCCTGAATTTGTGCAAGTTGAATTCATTCTAACTCACTTCAACTCTGTAAATTCCTTTAAACAAAAAGTACACTGGTAAAACTTGCTTCAGTATAACAGTTTCCTAACAGTTCCTGATAGTTCTTCAATAAAGAACGTTGCAACATTTAGTTCTTCAGTCTTTGCAGCAATCCAATAGGAAATAATGGTAGGCATACCAATTAAAGCATTTTATTGCAATATTAATATTTACTGTCATTTCTCTAGAATCTCACATGTGAAAATACAGTGCAGGAATAAAAACAAAAAACATATCATAGAAAGGTATCAGACATAGACACCAGACATTCTTTTTGTCTTTCCCCTGCAGGCTATAGAGTCATTTGGACACTATATTAGTAAAAGAATGCTTTTCCTGATAAATTCTACAGGATTAATGCTTAGCTCACTGTGTAATTGGTATATATTATTCTGGATTACTCATAGGAACTGAGAATTTATGATCATTAAAACTGTCAGAATTTTTACTTCTTATTCTGTTTTCCTTAGCTCAAGATATTCCAGTGTCCAATAGAACTCTGAATAATAACATAACTATATGGCTTCTGCAGCTCCATCATGATCTAGAAAAGAAGCCCTTGAGATGACAGTTTAACACAGTAATGTAGATTTAACCACAGAAGATTCCTATATTTCCCTGTGTCCAACTGGAAATTCAACATTAACAAACCATCGTGCCAAATTACAAGTTAAATACCTGGACAATATTATCACAAAAACAGATTGATAGAAAAATTTCCAGTGCTTATAATCCTTACAAATTTGTTATATAGTTACTTTATCTATTATTTAGAAACATTATAAATATTATATAACCTTGTCAAAAATTTAGGCTCCTGATGGGACCTGTGGCACAGCTATACTAACAAATGCCAATCAGCAAATGTAATCTACCTCAGTAAAACAAAGTGCATTTCTCTGTTATTTGCAGTAGTGCAATTAGACTTTCTCCTGTATATTAGTCTATTTTGTTTTCTCTCTGACACATAACCTGCAGCAACTTTAACAGCCTCTTGCAAACCAACGTTCATTAAATTCTGCTGACATAACTTATTTGAGAAAGAGAAAAAAAACTTTTACACTCAAAAGATCAAGCATGCAGCTGCTGTTTGGATTACTGAAAAGTGACAAGAGCCTCTATCAGCATTCACCACAAGTTAAAAAGCAAGAGCTGCAGGATATCCAGGGCAGCCTCCTGTCCACATACAAGGCACCCAATGCCCTACAGCCCACACTCGGCCGCAGTCAGCTGTGCTGAGATAACATGAACAACCAGGAGTGCTGCCTCTCCCACCTTCACACAATACTTAGCACAAAAAAGCATCTGTGAAAAAAGGTCTTCAGTCTTACTTTGCCACATTATATCCATCCCTTAGAAGTACAGACTTATCAATGACTCTTATGTGAAATTCTGTGGGAATATTCTTCCTTCCACACTATTGCTCAGTTAATGCCCTCTCTTCTACCTAACCAGAAAAGAAAAAAGAAAAAAAAAGTTAAGGCTAAGAGAGTTTTTACTACTGTAATGAGGAGCACTTTTTCTTCTGATCCTACACACTGATGATTTGGAGAAGTGATATTACCTAGTACCACCAGTGCCACCTGCTCAAGAGCAGCTCTTCCAATGCAGCTAACAATATGAAGGCTGGCTAATCCCCTACCGATCTGCTTGCCAGTGCAGATGGAATACAATTTCAAAGCAAACCTTCAGGAAAATGTCTACGAAAAAAGACCGTCAACATTATTGTGACATTGCGTTTCTTATACCTCAGATCCAACAGCTTTTACACACAACTAAATAGGAAGAAAAATGATGAGAGAACAACACAGTAGACTTCCCTCCTTCCTTTTTGAATAGAAGCTTATATCATAGAATGTGGGGTAAAATAGTACTGCAAAATGCATTATAGTGAAAAAGGAGTTATTGTCTGTATCCCTGAACTATGCACTCAAAACATTTCTACTACAAGTAGGCAGCAATTTTACTTGCTTCCAAAGTGTTATTCTGTAAACGATCCCTTTAAACGTGCAGAGCTCATTGAAGTTGACTGCACTTATTTAAACCTCTTCGCATAAATTATAAGAGTAACCTTGAGAACCAGTAAGCTCCTAATGGAAAAAATAAAAATAAAATAAAAATCAGAAGATTCCTGTTGATTGAAGGAAAAAAAAGGAAATAAGAAATGATGCTATGTAACACTGAAATTTTGTCTTCCCCCTCCCCCCCATAGTTCCACCTGGAGAAATGTTATCTACTTAATCAGATGAGACTGGTGGAGATAAAAAAAGATGCCAGAATACAAGCTCTCAATTTTCTCTTGGGGATATTTCTTAATTTCTAACCCTGACAACAGTGAGGATGATATTACTTATAAGAGCTGCTCATCCTATTTCTACAAAACCTGCACTTTGCAGTTATATTTCAGTTCATTTACTGCTAGTAATAACAACTGATCATACTCAGAAACTTGGCACAAAAAAGGCATTTACTTCTTTAATTAACAATGAGCACAGCACAGTAGATGTAAACAGAAAGACAAGACATACCTGAGGGACAAGATGCCAACCAAAGAGACCAGGAAAGTCTCAAGCTATGGTCCAAGAGAATCTTATGAGGTTCAACAAAGTGAAATTCAAGGTCTTACACTTGGATTGTGGCAACTCTGCCTGTCAACATAAGCTGGAGGAGGAAAGAATACAGCACGGCCCTGCCTAAAAGGGCTTGGGAATATCAGTGGATGGGAAGCAGGACGTTAGTCAGCAGTGTGTCCTCACAGCCCAGAAAGCCAAGCATATCCTTGGCTGCATCAATAGAAGCATGACCAGCAGGTTGAGGGAGCTGAAAGCCAGGATCTCAGAGTGCTAGCTTCCTTACTTAAATAGAATGTAGCAAGGACTACCTCTCTTATTCCACCCGCACTTCCATATTTCACCTTGTCTAAGTTATATTCCCTTCACTCTGCATCTCCAGTCATATTTTCACAGGTCCAAAAACAAATTCTTTCTGTCTTGTAAAGTAGACTATTTTCATTGCAGCCACAGAAGCAATTTTATTTTTTTAAATATCACTTGAGTTGATAACACTTTGGTCATGTTTAAGTATTCCTCTTTATTCTATTCTCTCAATGCTGATGATGGTTTTCTGTGCCATCTCTAAGGGCACATTTCCATTGCAAATATCTGTGTAGCATGCAGTTGCAACAGATTCCATCCAGCTTTAAATTAACCAGGATTTGTAACTAAAATATTTGACCTACAATATCCTTGATTTCTTCACTGAAGAAGTAGAAACTCTTACAGATAACCTGCCTTCATACTATAACTGTTCCACTAGTTTGTCACACTAGGACATCACATCTTCAATTTCTCCATGGTCCCACGATATTACCTTCAGCAAGAGCCATCCATCTAAGACAAGTCAAAGTGCTATTTCCGGAAAATTTCTATGCATTCTTAATGAATTATCAAGAAATCCAAGGTAGACAGTTGACAACGCAAAATAAGCTTGTTTATTTTATTTTTAAATGTGAATAAGTAGTAAGGGAACTACATCATTATGGTATTCATCCCTGTCAAAAATAAGTAAATGTCACCTAAAACAGATGAGAAAGTATTTTCTTCTCTGTAAAGTGTTGGCTTACTGTTTACTTCAGGAAGAAAAAAAAAAAAATAAAAAAAATAAATCAGTCTGCATAGAGCAGAAGTGGCATATTCCCAGAACTTAGGTTCCAGTCTTTGGCAGGGTCGTTGTTGAGGAACCTCACTGCATCTGCAACACTGATGATAAAGTTCTCACATATTCAACAAGCCAGATTCAACAAGATGCAGAAATAATTTCCCAACCGTTGTGTTTTATTTAATGTGCCTGTCTTTTTGACATTCCTGGATATATTAAAAAAAAAACAACAACGAAACACCTCTTTTTTTTAAGTAAATAAAACTGTACATAAACATGTGTTGTACAAGAACTACTGACTGTAATATTGTGGTTTTTTTCCTCTTTTGTCTTATAAAAAGCTGCAAAGAGAGAAATAAATTCTTTCTTCTAAGAGCTTTAGTGCTTTTTTTGTGTTGATGTTGTTGTTGCCTGCATACAACAGATGCTCTTTCCACAAATTAGTTTATAATTTCTTTCATAACTCAGTCAGAACAACCCTTCAATTTATAGTCAGGGAAAAGATTTACTGCTGCACATAATTCTTGTAATTATGTAACAAAACTGCACTTTGCTAGATGAAAACCTTGTCTATCAATCAT